CCTGCCCAGTGAGGTGGTGGATTCACCGTCCCTGGAGGTTTTTAAGACGAGACTGGATGTGGCACTGAGTGCCATGATCCAGTAATCACAGTGGGGTTGGATCAAGTGTTGGACTTGATGATCTCAGAGGTCTTTTCCAACCCAGTTAATTCTATGATTCTGTGATTCATGGCAGATTAAACCTACCTCCATCAGGTTCCAGTGATCCTACCTCCCTTGTCAACCCCAGCTACACGTTTCCTATCTCTGTGTTGTCTCCTGCCTCTATGCCTGTGAGAATATATGCTGAGTAATGCAGAAATGTAACACAAATGACAAGCTAGCCAGAAAAAAAAAGAAAGTAGTCTGTAGCCAAATCAGCTCCCTGACTTGTCTTACCACATGGTCACTGGTGCAAAGAAGACGGCAGGGACAACATGGAGTGGGGACAGCAAAGAAGAGGCTGGGATTGTGCAGCTGCCCTGATATAACCTGATTTAATTTGTCATGAGGTGGTATCTGTTAGTGTTTGTAATCTAAAGTGCACAACTAAATGCACAAAACGTTGCTAGTGCTTCACTTTCTATTCATTTATTTGTCACCCTACAATAATATAACTTTTTATTTTCTCTGTTTTGGTTGTATCTTGTTAAGAGAGAGTGTAATCCTGGGCAAATGTGCATAAACTACTCAGTGAATAACAGCTGCCCATGTGATCTAGTTATTCTATCCTGCCCTATGACAATGACTTTCTATTATTTTCCAGTTTCATTGCCAACATTCAATAGCTATTAGTTGAGTTAAATGATTTTTTTTTTCTTTAAATCGTATTGTGACATGGACAGACTCCTCTTCTTATATCTACTTCAGCCAGTACTGGCAAAACAGAAAACATTCCTTGCAAATATATCAAAAATGCTTCAAGAAAAGAGAATATTGGGGAAAAAAGCAAATGGAAAAGGAAGGAAGCAGTGCAAATTGAAGGAAGAAAATCCATTGGTATGTCTTAAAATGTGTGAACACTGTCAGCTAAAATAAGATTGTAATTAGTAAGGGATTTAGATTCTGTATACGTAAGAAACGATACAACAACCTGCTAATTGGAGACAATACTATTCAAATGTTGCTGAGGAACTAAGACTGGTACATAATTATGTGTAAGGAGCGGGAGGGTTGCAAGAAATGTTTCAGTCTAGTAGACTGAGCCACAGCTGAGAAAAGGCTAAAACAATAACCTTGAAAACAAGCATTAATAATCTACTGTCACAGCACAAAGAGCATAAAGAAGAACATGTTTGTTTACACAATGAGCCAAATTTTGCCTACAGACAGACCTACCTTTCACAAGAGACTCATATACATATTTCCTATAAAAATAACATCATAGTTTATAGTCTGTTTAGTAATGATTGAGACATCACGAGCTGGGAGAACTTACATGTAGTTGATTTTATAAAATTATTATATACTTTTTCATTGTGACTACGGAAAATAAATGCTCAGGTCTAGCTTCTGGTGCCTGTGCTGCCATTAATAATCACTGGTTGTCCCCAAGAGACAGAAACAGCAAGCAACCTCACGTAACAGTGATGTTGTAAAAAGAAATTCATTAATACTGTATTTGCAGGGCACTCAGATACCACAGTGAGAAGCAGCATGGAAAAGCCTATGAGGAAATTAATCATTTTGCATTCAGTGCAGGATCTGGCAGATATGCAATGAAGAAAGCCTGGAGACATACATTAAATATGAAGATAAAAAAAGATTCTAGCCATTACCAGCAGAAATAATATCCCCTGAATGAACATCAACTGTATCAGACATTAAATGTTTGATGTATTCTCACTCAACACAAGGGAAAAACCTCTGATTAATATGGTAAGACTGTAACAAGTACCAGCCAGGTATTCTATGCAAAATATAGAATCTGATAATGTAATTAAAGTTTATCATAAATGTAAGTTTTGGGACTAGTATTTCCTCATTTCCACATGCTTAATTTTGCAGCTAAATAACACTCCCACAGTTAGCAATTATTAACAAATGTACATTATCTGAGTACTCTGAGTTTCCTGTCACCACAGCTCTAGGTGTGGTATGTGTTTGCACAGTAAATCAATTAGTCTTTCACACTGCAGTTGTTGGACTTCTGTAATCAAGCTCCCCTGTTTACAGCCAGCTCAAGTGAGTCAGGATAGCACAGACAGGACAAAAAAAGGCATCAAAGTAATGACAAACCTGGAGGTTCACAGCTAGTTCATATGTCTGTACTAATATTGCAAATGCAAATTACTAATTTTATTTTAATCTACATGAGTTCAGTTCTGCTCTCTCATCAACATAAGTTATGCTTTATCTTACCCCATCAGCTCAAATCTGAAGTCAGATTTCAACCTTCTCTGTTAATCAGTAAGGAGAGAGTTAATCAGCTGGAGAGGAAGGATGTGTAGGGAAGGCTCTTCCAACCCTTGGGTTGGAAAAGGTTTATCGAAACTGTTTTCTACAGTACTTCCGAAATGGGGAGAAGAGGCAAGGGGGCTGCAGGTATGCCTGTCTAGAAAAATGAAATATGTGCTAGAATAATTTGGCTGGCAGAAGAAGTCTCAACATCTGTGCTGAGATGCAGCAGTACAGTAGCCTATCCTTGTATCTTTCTGGTTCCTTGTCCAAAAAAACCAACACTGCATGAGACAAATATTAATTCCCCGAGTACAGTTCTTAAAGCAACCCCAGAGAAACCCATGCCATTTTGTTGAGGCCACCTAAGTCAGAAAGGACATGCTACCTGAAGATGCAGCATGAGGTAAGTAATCAGTGGTTGAGGAATTGCAGCATCCTTTCAAGGTTCCTGATCAGTATATTAACATGTACCTCCTGGGTCTGACAGCTAAATTATCCCTTGTCCTGACCCTAGGAACCAGTCTGTACCACATGAGGGCATAGCTCAGGGGTTCTGATCATCCAGCCTGCTGAAAAGAAAGGCAAGGCTTTTCCACCCTCTCCGTGCAGTAGCAACTCTTTCTTGTATTTAGTAGGACAGCCCACTGCTGGAGACAGTTCAACTCCTGCACACAATCTGCCTTGGAAAGAAGAGCCCAGCCCCTGCCCACCTAGCAAGGTGAAGGTGGACTCAGGAGTGCACGAAATTTCCAGAGCTCCACTTGCTATGTAATGCGCTTTCTGTCCATTCTACTGCCCATGGCTCAGGTACCAAGCATATTTGCTGCTTAGGGTCAATCAGCTTAGATTAATAAGCTGATGAACCACAGAGCAGTGCTTGGACTCTCTGCCTAATTATGACAGATACCACAAGTGTGGGTTTCAGCCTGTTCAGACAAATACATTTTGGTTCTCCATCTTGAGATGTTTCACAACTTGGCTGAACTATTGATATATTTACCTCTTTCTTTACAGACAAATCTGACAGTTGCAGGAAAAAAAAGGTATCTTTATGTATAAGTTCAAGGATCAGTTATGATTGATTTCTGAGGATGTAGGTGGCCATCACCTCACAAGCAAAGAGAATAATATTTTTAGTAGATAGGTCTTCCAGGATAGCATAGGAAAGCTTGATGATAAGTTTTGGTGTTTTTTTGTTTTTGTTTTTGTTTTTAAGTTAGCCTACCACTTCGCTTCTATCTGACGTGAGCAGGACATACCATGAACTATTCATACAAGGTCTGCTCATTTCAACATAAAATTAAGACAACTAAATCTGATAGAATTTAAAACTAACTTACTTCTTTTAAGGAATACAAAGACAAATAAAGACTTCTCTGGCTTTCAGGGAGATAAAAACCAAACAACAAACCCAAAGATTTGCAACAGAGCTGGCAATCACCCCATCATAATCAAGACATTCTAATGAAAATATCAGAATTTGTAGAAATAAGCAAATCAAAGCATGGAATTAGAAAATAAAATCATAGTGAGAAAAGCAAGAAGTTATAACTTCGACCTTTGAAAAAGGTAATTAGTACACAATGAAAGCTACAATTCCAGGGTTCAAAGATGATGACAGAAAAACTCACAAGAATTACTATATGATAGCAACTTTCCCTGATTCTCTGTAGCTCAGAGCACATGTATAGTGATAATTTCATTTGAATATTGTAAAATTTCCTATCATAGAAGAAGTTACAAGGAATTTAAACAAATATAGATTGATATGTGTTGGAAGAGGTTGTTCTTTATTCTTTACCATAAACAGACATGTTGTGTTAGGGTGCCACTACACATAGCAACTCCTTTGCTTAGTCTATTTTTGAGTGTTCCCTTTGTGATCCATATAGTTATCTGTGTCAAAAATTATCACCATCAAAATACATAGGCTCTTTTTGCCCTTTGAAAAGTGTATCCTAGCCTTAAAATCATGCTTTTATCAGATTTTATAGATAACTAACATATGCAGGAGAAATGTGTATGAGATAGCTAAAACTTGTGAGTTTCATTTCTTTCACCATTTCTTAAATTCTCTTGACTATTTTTCCACGCAGTTTCACATAAAACAAGTTTATTCATGTAGTGCCAGTGTGCAATCCCTCTTTTGACAGGGATCTTTGAGCCTTAAAAACAATGATTAGGAAAACAGATACCAAAGAAACACACATAGCACAGAAAACCTTGTCAGCTGGCTGAATCTGACCAATGGCCTATTTTCCAATGCTTCAGAATCATCACTACCATAGATATGTTGCTTTATTAATTTATTTTGATATTCCTCAAAGGAGGAAACTATCTTGTCCCACAAGGCATTACAGCAGTCTCTCAGGTTACACTGCCTACCCTTAAAAATGGCAATAGTGAATTTAAACACCTTTTTAAGTGCTTGCAAACTGCAAACATCAACTACAGTAACAGAGTTTCAGACAACTATGAACCAGAGAAAGCTGAAGGTAATTGCAGGGTAATACTACAATACCAATAGGGTACATTTAATAGATCATTCGAGTCTGCATTTTAAGTAAAAGCAACATCCTGTAGCAGTCAATGGCGTAACAACATAAAGACCTTGGTCTTACCCTTTGTTTTCAAGTCGTTTAATACCTTTGATTCCATGGGCAGTATATCACTCACTAGCTTTATCTCAATATTTCGGGATGCCAGTTCAAGCAACTTTTCAAAAAGACGCTGCCCCTGGGAAGAACATTAATGGAAAGCAGAAGTTGTAAGATACAGAATCGTTCAAACTGCGTATCAACAAATTAAAGAGGCGTGTAAAAACAAAAGCATTATATACAACAGTCGAGTAAATATGATCCTAGATATGATTAAACCTACCCTAAAGGTTAGCAACTTAAATACTTTTTCTTGGAGAAATACTGTTCTGAAGGCCAAAATGATTTCTTCCTTTGCCCAGACTGCACAACACTATTCATGACAGGTGCCAGACGGAAGAGAGTGTCCAGATTTTTTATGCTGCATAAGCACATTTTGACATTAACTTTCTTCTAATGAATCACATTCTTTTGACTTAGGATAAAAAGTTCAAGGAAAATAGTTTATTACACTTATTCTGTGTTGAGTGATATTTTTGTAAGTGGTTCTGACCATAGTACACAACATTTTCAAGTGGTCGCATGCTCTACTTTAGGTGAGTTATACCAGGAAGGAAAACAATTATCTATGGGTATTTTATATGCTTTTCCTTTTTACACTCCTATAAAACTTAAATAGTAAAGTCCTATTTCTAACACAGAACGAAAAAGAGAATCTCATACTGAGCTAGATATATGTCAAAACAGAAATCAAGATGCTTGTTTCACATGAAAAATAAAATTTTAAATTGTCAGATTTTTCCATATCCAAGAAACAAAGAACAAGTAGAACTTCTGATTGCACAGCAAATGTTTAATTTTTAGAGTCAATATTTCCAAAGAAATAAAAAAGTTTAGTTACAAACATCTAACTAGATAAGGTCAAAAATAAACTCTCCAGCGCATCACTACTGTGCTGTAACTACAGCCACAGCCAGACCACATTTCCTTGCTGCCATTCTAGCTTACTACAGTGGACACTACTTTCAATTAGCAGTTCAATACACAAAAACTTTGGGTTTATGCAGCTGACAAAGTGCCTGCCCTGCCTTAAGATTCACTTTAGATTCAATGTAATGCTGGCCCAAATGTAAAGCAAAACCAAAAAAAAAGAAGAGTCATATATCAACTTTCAAACAAACAGGTAGAAGATAAAGCTCTTCACAGAACCTATTTAACAAAATGACCAAAACAAAGCAATTTGGGATGATACAATATGACATAGCATGGACCAACAAACCCCAGACAAAGGCCCTCTCCACACATTGAAAAAAACATAAGCAGCAGACAGTGGAAAGCCACCCTTTGGCTTGTCACTGCCTGCACAGATCAATACTTTGAGCCTTATTGGACCTTCAGCATTACACAGACTCAGAAATCAGTGCTTCCCCTGCCTACAGTACAGACTTACTTTTTAATGTTCACATATTTTGAATATATGTGGGAAAATTAGAACACCCATCCTCCTAGAAAAGAGCTTTCTCAAAATTACCAAGCAGCCAGAGGCTGCAATGGAAACAAAACTACTGTTTATGTTTTACTTTTGTAATGTGTGCCTGCTTGCTCACTCAAATCCATAGTATACCTCCCTGCTCATCCCAGGGATCACAAGAACTTTGCAGTTAACAGAATGCTGCCATAATGAAAGCATTAGAGAATAGCTAACAGATCAGGAAAACAAAAACATTATTTGCCTGAAGTTCCAAATGTTTCTTATACTCAGATTCAGCATTTCTTAAGGTGACTAGGTGGTTCAGTATGTAAGAAATTACATCCATGATTTTAACTCGCACACCCAAAAGTCGTTACTGAGTTGCTGTGCAAGTCAAGTGGCTTTCCCTCACATACCTCACGAAGCTGAAAGAATCCTTAATTCTCACACCGCAGATTGTGCTGGGTCTTTTATTAAAAAAAAAGCACAGATGTTAATAGAAAATGTAAGAATTAATGAGATAATAGCATGGAGGAGGTGGATGCTGCACATATAGTTATGCAGCAGCTCCAGCATGATTCTGGGGGAGCAGAGGAGCACTGATCAGTATTTCTGGGTGCCCTGCTCCCTCCAAGAGCGTTTCTCCGGCAATTGCTGCAGTCTGGCACTGCCAGATTCTAAGAAAATCCAGGAACAGAAATCACTGTCCTCTTGTCTGCCAAATTCCCAATCCATGCCCCATCCTCCAGAATGAGAGACTGCTGGTATGGCAGAGCTCAGCCAGCCTTTGGACATACATATGGATCCCCCGACTGGAGAAACCAATAGTTTTGATTTTCCTTAGTTGTATCTTTGCAAAAGTGAGCTGGGGAAATTAAGGACTAAAAGGCTTGCATTGTGGAAATTAATTAATATATATATAGGTAGAAACAGCTGCTCAGAAAGATACTCTGTGTTTATTGAATTTACTAAGTAGAAAGATAAACACTGTTTTTGTTTAGGTTATCTGTAAAAACTGATTTTGTCTAGAAGCATGGCAGAAAGGTCTAGCATATAAAAATACCCATCGAAAAAGTGTTCATAAATTTGAGTGATATTGATTAGCATCATCAATACAAATTAATTCATGAACTGTTCTGCTGAAAAAATATTTAGAAAGTTTACTTCTCTAGCTGATAAAATTAATTGCTTCAGGGGATGGTTCTTACAGTTTTTTCCCTATGGTAATTATTTTTGGACCTTATTGTCTCTTCTACCTGCATAAGAATATATTTACATATGATTTACAAATGCTTTGATAAACAAGCCTCTCTTTGATAAACAAGTATCTCTTCCTGGCACCTCTTCATGAGTTTTGCCTGATCTTAGTATGCCCTGATGTGACCAACATAGCTGTCTCTTATAGGCCATGCTGCCTGCTGAAGAGTCCATCCTGTGGGTGAATGTATCACTTGGAGCGCAGCCCTGCATTCCAATGAAGCCATTTTCTCTGCAAATACACCTGTTTCTGCATCTTGGACACTACAAGCTATTAATTCATATAATTTTTTTTCCCAATTATGTTCATAAGGGATAAAACCTCAAAATTGATTCAACATTCAAAGTATCTCTTTGTAGTGATGGTTAAGGGTAGGAGTGCACACACCACAAATATTTGTGTTTATACAGGTACACAAAAAACCATCAGCCAGTGACAGAATTGGAAAGAATTCCCTCTGTCTCATCTCTCACTGCATCATCTCTCAGCAGGCATTCATTTCCTCACCAAGGTTTAATCTAGACACTCTAAACTATGAAAAATTCACAACTTGCTTTTAAAAATCTGTACACACTTTAGTTCCTCCTTCATTGCTGAAGAATCTGGTCTCTGTCTCTATTAATATTAATTTGAAACTCAGTTTCTGTACTTTCTGACATGTTTACTTGCAATGTTACTGGTTTTTTCCTATGAAAAAGAAAAAAGAAGGGATGGAAGGTCTAAAGAGTTTTGTCACTGCTGTCAGCACATTTGAAATGCTTCTGTTGGATACAAACCCTCACGTTGTCATTCAGACCACATTCCCTTTGCGAGACAATACCAGGCTGCTGCACAACTACGTGACAATGATCAGAATCATTTCTATATACCCAGCTTGTGAGGACTGAGAAACAGTAGCAGCCAACTGCTATGAAACTGGCATGCTACCTTACAGCATATCTGCATTTTAACAAACACTGCCACCAGAAATCTGCTTCTCCTGATAAAATATTCTCATACGCTTTTCACTGGGTTGTTTCAAAAAAACCTACCAAAAGTGACAAAATAGGATGTAAAATGTACTTATAACATGAACAAACTGACATTCAGAAGGTAGCTGTAAATTACTATACGTCTCAAACATCAATCCCAATTGTACTCCCAATTGTACCTGCCACAGCAAACTCTTTTTCTCTTTAAAAAAGAGGAAGTTGTCATTACCAAAAGACCCTGAAATTGCCCCCAAAGCAATTTACTGGCAGTCTCAAGACAGGCTGATTCTAGCCTGGCTGATTTCCCTTGCCTGCTGTTGTCTCTATCAGCATGCATTCCTTATTAGAAATAAAATCGGGAGATGCAAACATGAAAATGCAGTATTTGTTGAAGTACTCTAAAACTGAATTATTGTGCTCTTCAGTAAATTACATTCCTACAGTTTAAACAATGACTCGCTTTTTTCTTCCCACAGACATAAACCTGGTTATGTTGTAGACTTTTCTTCTCAGGTTTTTCTCTATAGTTTTACTAATATTTTTAAAAAGTTTTCCTATAATCAAGCCTCTGAGTATATTTAAAAACATCACTAAATATCGTAACATGCTGGCAGAAACCAATAGAGTAAATAAATCAAGAAATCCTAACTTTAAATTCTTCTGTTTAATACAGAACAGAGAAAATTAAATGCTCTCCTCAAATTCTTCTAAGTGAAACAGCTAATGCAGAAGGAGGGAATGTGCTTTCACTTGTAAAACCTCTTCTTTTTGAATTTATTTTCTCTGCCTCAGTCTGTACCAGCTGCACCAGGGAAATGCAACCACCTGAAGAAGAGAGATGTTTATGTGTAGATGAGCTTGTGGAAAAGAGAACACACTGCAATCTCTGTAGCTGATGATACCAAATTTCTGCTGGTAGCTGCTAGGTTTGGAGGTGTGCCCTTCTTGGTATTTATTTGTATTTTTTAATATAATTGTCAAAGAAGGGAATTTAAGCTCTTGCACTAACATTTGTTTTAACAAACAAATCACTGAAGATCCTTGGTCAATGCACATGTGAGTGACACATGACTCGTCATCAGAGATTCACTACAAAACTGGCTTACATGAGACAGAGTATCAGATGGAGTGGGGGACCTCTCCCATCAAACCATTTGGGAGATGCACAACAGGTAGGTAAATAAAGTTATAAACCTCTACTTTTTATATGATAATTTTAAAACTCAGATACAGGTCTACTCTCAGATCATCTTATGTTCATCCAAATGGCCATCCAGGAAGAACTGTACCAATAAGAACAGGCAGTACGAATAAGACAAAATGGCATTAATTCTTATTTATGAAAAATAAACCAAAGTTAGTGGAGGACTTGCTGGAAATCTAAAAGGTCGTTCTAAATTAAAGTTTCTAAGCATGAGATGAGCCAGAGGAAATGAACTGTGAAAATCATGAAACTGGCATGATCTTGCATTCACCTTTCTCTTCTTACTGCAAATGAATTAAAAGCTACCCTCAAACATTTTTTTTCTTGTTATCCTGTAATATCTCTAAACATCAGATTGCCACAGGAGGAGTCACACATTCACATTCCACAATAACCTCAATGCTTCTACATGACAACTACCCTGTTATCTTGAAAACACAGCTATGACAACACAGAGTTGCCAAAGTACATGGTTTTCTTTCGAATGAGAAAGGCAAGTGTAGAAAGCCTACTCACTCTTTTGCCAAACAAATATTTTTTTACTTGACCACTTAAGCTGTAGAAGCATAGAAATACTGTGTCATCATCTGTCCGTTTTTAGGGAATCCAATTTAGCAAGACTCATGATCTCAGATGACTGAGCAAGGTGTTGTGACCCAGACAGCTCAATCAGCAGTAAACGTTTATTTAGATTTATAGCAACAAAATATGGAGAGGTAAGAGTCAAGGATACTAGGTAACGTACCCATAAACAAAAAAATGAAGAAAAATAGAGCAGGAAATTCTGCAATTTCATATATGTAGATATATACATATATACATATGTCCAATACACATTTAGACAAGATAGACAATATGTATATATAAGGATGATACGTATATTGATCATATGTATGTATGCATGTATATAAAGTTGCAGAATTTCCTGCTCTATTTTTCTTCAAATGCATGTATTTGACTACACAAAGATATATAGAGAATGCAGTTAAACTTTGTAACTAACTGAGAAAAAGCAATCTAGCCTACTCTGCTTTTCTCCTCCAAAAATCCATGTCTGTTCAAGTGCTCTTGTGGAGAGCCTTGCTTTTTAATATGCCTTGAATATTCATAAAACGAAAATTGCTAGTTACAGAGCAGGGTGTGGGTCCATATGGAAGATGATTTTGTCCTTAATTTCTAAAAAACGAGAATAATTCAAGGAACTAAAACTTACTCACTAAGCACTGTACTATACCCTTACCTTTCATAATGCTTCTGCTATTTTGAGGCAAATTTTCCCAAAATTGCAAAGACTTGAGGCCATTCGACTTATTATTCAGATTACAGTTAGTAAAGCTCCTCTGAAATTCCACTTTCATTTCACAAGTGGAGAAAGCAGATGTAATGATACAAGTTTCCTCCCTTCCCTTTCACAGACCAAGCTTTGTGTACATTCTCTGGGGCAGTGATTTGCTAAGAAACATTGCCTCTTGGCAATTTTTTAGCAATCAGACTAGCCAATAACAATACAGTGTTTTAGCACGAATAGACAAGCTTGACAGAAAAATCTATCAGCTGTTCAGCTCACACTGCTGTACAAATGGGGAGATGACTGGAATATTAATTGCCACTAAACAGAAGTAATTACTCACTTTTGTAAGACTACTAGCAGACAGAAATAGATAACTAGAATAGAATATTATGAAAAATGTTCCATTTTTCTGGCTTTAACTGTGTATTTGAGGATAAAAGAACAAATCCACTTCTTAGATGTCTCTTCTTTCTTTCCCTGCTGAATAATATCTTCCAATTTTTACTTTGCATGTGAATGTGGAACAGTGAATGGATTTGATACTTAACTATTGAAATCCCAACTTCTAGTTTCCTATTTTTTGTCCTTTGTTTGGGATTTATTAGGCTCTGCTGGTTTTGAAGCAAATGACACGCTGAATTTTTTTTCAGACAAAACACTTTTAAAAGATTCATGCACATATCAATTCATGCACACCCTAGAAACATCTGAGGCACTGTCTCTTTGAATACATCTGCTTGAATGACAGTACATGTTTTTTGAAGTTACTTAGGCAATAAATTTAAATAAAGTTTAGCTGCATAATTACATTGTGAAAAAGCCAATACTTTGATATTCCATGATTTATTCACAAACCATACTCCAACATTTATAAGCATTCTAAAAGGAAGGGTTTGCATTAAATTTTCTATTTGGCTTCTCACCTTAGATTTTCACTATTTTAAATGGACATGCAGCAAATTTATTCTGAAGAAGAGTATGCTGTGGAACTAGGCTACAGCCTCTTTCAAAAGAAGTAGAATTTAGTTGCTCAAAATACCAAGCTTTGTCTATTATCTATCAAAAGGCATTTTTTTACTGCACAACATCAACAGAACTAGAGAGGAAAGCCAAGAGTTTATGACATAGTATAATAGAGTTGATTCATTACAGTTACCTGGCTGTCATTTTAACCACATTTCATGTCAACTGAACTGCTTCTCTCAGCTAAAAATCTATTTAGTGGAAAAGAGGAGATATTCTCACAGCCTATCAATTCTTTGATATCTTAGTTTTACAAGTGATACTAAATAGAAACCTGCCCTAACCATATTTCTAAGAGGATTGCTCTCAAGAATTAAGTTTTTGTTGGCATAGCATCATTGTAATGCATGTCTGTCTTATTCACTATGATTTATGATTTTTCCTATTGTTCTTAATTGTAGGAATCTTGAACACCAGTCCCTCCCAAGATTAATTTTGAAAAGCTATGAATCATCTGATACTATATTGTTCTCTATAAGTGTAATTCTATCCATCTTTTTGGCAGCAGAATTAATCCACATGCTTGCTCTTTAATTACATCAGTTGCATCAAGTAGAAAATAACTATAGATTTATGAATATTCCTAAATTATGGATGTGCTAATATAGGTACAATTTGGCAGTTTTCTTAAGATTACACAATTACATCCTTTCCTAAGATGGAAGTGGTATCAGTATATGTTGAATGTTATCTAGTCCAAGCATACCACCACTCTCAGAAAACTATTGTACTGGCAGGAAAATCCCCATAAGAAAATGATTTTTTAGACTCCCCAAACAAATAGGTCTGCTACAGGGAAGGATTGTAGTTCTGTAAAATTAATAGTGTAGCAACAAGAACAGACTGGTAAAGTCCCACTCTTTTGTTAGGCTAGAACATACCTGGCATGCTGATGGATGACTGTGATTGAGGTCCCACTGGGAAGAGACTATGTCAACAGACTTTTCAGCCATATTAAGCAAATTCATCCAGCCTTGGAAAAGAGACAAATGGGATGGTGCACTGTCTGAATAGTTGATCCCTTCAGGAATATTTTCCACAAGAGCAACCCTGAGAATAGATAAGGAAAAAATAACCACTTAACAAAAGCACTTTTCTTTATTAAAAAAAATTCCAAATTTTAAAGAATGTCAGGTTTCAGGCCTGAAGTTCAGCATCTGCTCCCAGAAGCTTTCAGCAGTGTGCCACCCACAACTCCCTCTGAAGTTGCTGACTGTCATACTCCACACTTCCCAAAACAATAAAGTGGAGAAATGACCTACTGGTAATGCAGCAAAGCCAATTAAGCTTTTGAAGCTCTGCAAAATTAGCTTAAACGTAGAAAAGCTTACTTCTTTCAACACAGTAAGTGGGAATCAGTCCTTAAAGTGAGGATGGGAAGAATGAAACAATCTTTTCTTGTTTTGCCCTCTCATCTCTGCATTTAGTTTCTTCTCTCTAAGGAATTTGGCAAGATGTAAACTTCTTGGCATTCTCTTAGGTCTGCTTTTCCAGCTGACATTTTATTACATTGCAGTCTCTAAATATGAACTCTCCCTTTCCAGTTGTTCTAAGCTACCTAATTGTTCTGCTTTTACCTGTGTAAGGCTCTAACTGGGATCCAGCAGTTAAAAAAGAAGAACTATGCCCTTCTAATTTCCTGTTTTTTTCTGGAAGGCTCTTTGATCTAACTGCCTATAGTACACAAAACATTTGTAAAAGAGACTACATACATTCATATGGATAACATCATATCCAAGAAGTGAAACAAACATTGTAGTAAACTGACAGTTCAAAATATGCTCCTCTGCTTCAGGGAAATGATGTGTTTCATTCAGCATAGTACCCCATCACTAGATTTCTCTAAATTGCAGCAGGTAAAACTCTCTACGCTCAATAGAGGAATTTTAAAATTAAACACAATTCAAACAAGTTCCCCAGTTCTGTCTTTAGGTAAACAGAATAAATTTTCAGCTTATCCAAGAGGCACTTCTATAAGTGTCCCCAACATCTGCCACTTTTACTGTGAATCATACAAACCAGATGTAGGAAAGCTGTAATAGGAACTTGGAGAATACTCCTCTTCATTGTATCCAAGTACATCAAGCATTTCCACACTGTTTTTGTACTTGTTCATAGTGTTAATTATCAACTCCAGTAATAGGAATATAATTTGTAAACTTTAAGTAAATTATTATTGCAAAATTCTAGTGTAAAAGAGAATTGTACATGTCTTGACTCTTAGAAAAACAGATTAGTCAAGTATCTTCTGTTAACCCAGTGGACCCTAAAGGGTTTACATGGGAACTTTCACAACTATTTCAGATTATCATGCATGTTTGTAAAGTGAACCCATTAAAAGACAGAAAATTAGTACTCTTAAACAATATAAAGAACGCCCAGCAAGAACTGTGAGTAGAGTAAACCTGTGGTCATTATAGTACTCTTAATCTCCTGGCCTGGCAAAAAATCTCCCATCAAACTAGAACAGGCACAGCTCTTCCTTTCATTAAACATTCCAGCATGTTCTCTTATTCCCTGAAATCTGTCAAACAACACATAGCACTAAGCTGTAATTACCAGTGATGCTCTACACAACTTACTATGAATGCTATTCTAATTTTAACATTAAACTTCTCTACATTACAGAAATGAAGATGTAACACCAGCAAATAAACTGCAAAATGTTAAAACACAACTTGATTTTTTAATATCTTGAAAGTATATTTTACTCTAAAACATCCTACCCACATTTTTACAAACTTTTTGAAATAACTAGTGCTCTAAAAATTTAGTGCTTTATTAAGCCATTAAAAAAAGAAACTATTTTACTCTAACACTCAAGGTTTTAGGCTTATTTCTACTGCTTAGAATCCTGTTAGAAAACTTAATAAAACTTAGATCCCTTGAGAGCCTGGTTAGTTCTTTTTCAGTAGTTAACATTACTAATCATATTGCAGCTCTTAGCATGTCCAATGTTTCCAGAAGAATTTTATGGAGAGTTGTAGGATGGCCACCTTCAAACAGCAAGAAATTGAAGCTCAGAAGCTAAAGTGATCTCTACAAGGACATAAAAACACCTTCAGTAATTTATGGCAAAGATAAGACATGAATCCACGTCTTTCTGACATCTTCCATCCCCTACCCAATCATGCCTACATAGAGGAAAGAGTTTTTTCTGAATATTCTTCAAAGACATTCTTTGTATCAAATGATTATACAGAAATAAAGTAATCTGTCAAAAGTAGTTCTGACTTAGCTAAAATTTAAAAGTGTACATCAGTCCCTTGACACAAGTTCGGACCAAAATTTCTCAACATTAGAATATTGTCTGACACGGCACAGTATTTTCCGGTGGAAGTAATGCAAATGAATACACAGGAGCCCACAAAATAACTGATAGGACTGAATCTGTCACAGTCATTTCAAGTGGCTTTTAGTAGTGTTTCCTATGGGCAGTTTCCTACTGAACTGGTATCTCACTGGAAAGCATCAGCTTAACTTCCCTTTTTCCTATCTCTATCTTTGGCAGGTCGCAAGCTGCCAAAAAGGTAGAACTATCATAGAAGGGTTGAGATGATCTGGAGACAGCGTAGCTCAACCCTGCTTGTCAAAGGAGGGTCAATGACAGCAGGCTGATCAGGACACTGTCCAGTCAGGTTTTTGCATATGTCCAATATCTCCAAGACCAACCCCACCATATTTGAGATTAGGGACCTGATCCAACCGAACACATATATGTTCATTTGTGACTTCACATTATTTAGGTGTGAAGTAGGGGAAAATGCTGTATCTATTTTTTATAAACACTAATTCCAGAAGTCACTGGAATCTATACCTTAAATTGTAATGCAGAAAAAGCTGTAGTTGTGGGTCATTGATCTATACATGCATTTTGGTACAGATACCATCCAGATATGCAAAAAAGTTGGGCTCTTCTTCCTGTTTCATGAGTTTAAACCATTTACTTATTCAAAGAAAGTAGCAAGGCAAATTTACTGGGCAAAAAGGAATTCAACTCCCTCTTAAAAGGGTCCTTGTCAAGGACAAGGTGCCTCTTGATAAGGAAGGTTATCCTGACTGTTGGAACAAACTTGCTCTTCGCTAGGATAACAGCTCTGAGCTTTTAAATCTGCACAGCATTCAGTAAGCTACAGCACCAGTACTAAATAAGGCACGTGGCTACACAACTCTTGCCATTTTATGATTTGGGTTTGATTATCCAGTAGAAGGCAAACGTGTTCCAGTTAGCAAAACTGTAATTTAGAACAGATATTATCTGGTAATATATTTCCTAGTCTTCTGTTTAGTCAAATAATAAACAAAGGGAGTGGTCACAGCACAAAGCCTGTCCAAATTCAAGAAGCATTTGGACAACGGCTCTCAGGCACATGGTGGGATTCTTGGGGTGTCCTGTGCAGGGTCAGGAGTTGGACTTGAGGATTCTTGTGGGTCCCTCCCAACTCAGCATATTCTACGATTCTACTTTTTGTTCTTTAGCAGAAAAAACCACAAAGGACAACAAACAAACAAACAAAACAACCAAACCAAAAAAACCCCCACAACTAAACCTAAAAAACTCACCCACATTTAATCTAGCTGAGGCAGTAGTTAAAAAGTGGTTTTCAGAGCTTAAACATACCTTTAGAAATGAACTGATTCTGCCAAAACCTTCCAATATGTTCCCTTACTCAATCAAAACTCAACAGTAAGTTCAAAAGTTATAAAAAAAAGTCAAACACTAATTTTTTACACTAAGTGATTTTGCCTTTATAATCTTCACTTTTTCTTTGACACAATAGCAGTGTTCCAGTGCTTAGTCAAGATGAGTTTTGTTAAAACTTCTGTGCAAAAATTTGAGTTTACAAGCCCCAATTCCATCAATAAAAGCTAAATTTAGCTTTCATTGTTGTTCCAATATGACCCACAAAGAGGTTTTTCAAATTTAGTATAATAAAAACTTCCAGGAGAGAAGGTCGTTCACAGACCTTGAGGGAGGTTCGACATTGTGACATAATTTACTCTGCAAAAATGGCATATTAACAAAGCAAAACAGAACAAATGTACCATGGTGATTAAAACAGGCTTCTTCTACTTCAGAATCATTAGCAGACAACCTTACACCTGTTGAATGAGATGTCCTTTCCTTCTCTGACCTCCTGGTGCTCTGTTTCATCTGATAATGCCAACATAGGCTAGTGTCTTAAGTTTTATAGCTGATTATTCTCAAAACTACCTCACAGAGACTGAGAAGCCTGAAAGTAATGTTACACAATTTCTGTGAAGTTAGAGAGAGAGACAAGGGTCAGAGCTGAGATTCAAGCTCTTCTTAGCTAACAGAAATGTGGCAAATGGAATGGTATTTAACACCTACCAAAGAAAAGACCACGACCTCAATAATAAGACTCTTCTGAGCTCAGCTACAAGACATGCATTTAGCAATTCCAAGTGAATTCTGTACCCGGTTAAGGGTTCTTCTTCATCTTTGACAGTTCTTTGACCAGAAAGCAAGATTTGTTTCTGATCTCACATCAATTTCTTTCTCTGAAGGAAACAGAGACTCTTAACTTAGCATATGGATTAATTAGAGTAGAAAAAGGGTTAGGACAGTGAAAATAGGCAGATGCTATATGTATGTCTCTTGAACAAACTTGGGGCTATTGGCAAGAATCTATAGCTCTGTTGAAAAGTTTAGCTGTAATGATTATACTCATATAAAAGGAAAGGTTTTTTTGATGGTTCATACTTCATGCCATATTAAAATGATAAACTGTAGAACATTATTCACTCCACTTTGTCTCAATCCAGAGTTATCCACTAAAGAAAACCCAGGTAATATGTACTTGAGCATCTCTACAGCATCTGAATTTACTCACCATTAAAAGGAAAAAACGTGGTAAGAAAATGTTACAGTGATTTGTATGAGACAATAAAGAAATAAAAGATGACCAAAGCCTTTGACATTTAATTTCAATTAAGGCTTTCACCATCTCACCTTCAAGCCCTCCACATCATTCTACATTACATCACTCCTATCACTCTTCTCCCTCAGATCTACTCATTAGCTGTCA